AAGACAGCTTGAACCAGAAATAACCTAAGAACATTTCGTGCATACCACAGGAGGTTCTTAGAACATTCTGTGGTGGGCCTAGAGAAGGAGCAGAACTCTATACACCGACGCCTTCGTCTGGCCTCACACTGAATCTCGCACAGGAAACCAGATCCTGGTGTATACGGGATCCTGGTGTGTACATTCTTCGCCTCCCCGGGAAAGCGGGGAAATTACCCTGGCGACGTACCCAACCCCTGCGCAAAAGCGGGGCGCAAATAGTTTAGGATACTTTATAAGGGGGCGATGACGGAGCGAGGGTTACATATGTCTGCAGACGGAATTCGGGAGACTCGCAGGACACTGGCTACAGGAAAAGGGCTTGATAAAGCTGATGATTTACAATTCCTGAGCACTCCTAGCCACTTCGAAAACGGGGATCACAGCAGGCCTCGAAAGTGGCGACAGGTTCACAGATCGCAGCCCCGCAGGGATGGCGAGGTCTCATTTGAATCTGCCCGTGGCCCTCACTGTGCTGGGCCCCCCAGCAGGCCTCGAAAATGGCGGCAGTTTCGCAGATCGCAGCCCCCCAGGGATGGCGAGGTCTAATTTGAATCCGCGCGTGGCCCTCACTGTGCTGGGCCCCCCAGCAGGCCTCGAAAGTGGCGACAGTTTCACAGATCGCAGCCCCCCAGGGAGGGCGAGGTCTAATTTGGATCTGCCGCGATTACCCTCTATGCTGGACCCCCCAGCAGGCCTCGAAAGTGGCGACAGTTTCACAGATCGCAGCCCCCCCCCCCAGGGATGGCGAGGTCTAATTTGAATCTGCCGCGATTACCCTCTATGCTGAGCCCCCCAGCAGGCCTCGAAAGTGGCGACAGTTTCACAGATCGCAGCCCCCCAGGAATGGCGAGGTCTAATTTGGATCTGCCGCGATTACCCTCTATGCTGGACCCCCCAGCAGGCCTCGAAACTGGCGACAGTTTCACAGCCCCCCGCAGGCAAGACAGAAAGAGGCAGGAAAGAGGCGGGAGGCGGGAGGAGGAAGGACGCGACCACACTGCTCTATTCAAAACGAATACCCAACCAAGGAGGGTTGGGAAAAAGTATACACCACACCACCCCGACGTCGTCCCCGACCCTCGAAAAGTCCTCGGATTGAAGAACCCCCCGCCACTGGTAGTGTACATGCTCCAGTTTCCGCCCAGAGGCAAGCCGGGACGCCTCGCCACTGCTGGGAGGGAAGCCGAGGCCTCGTTTGCTTCCGCGCGGCGGGGCTCCCCGCGGAGCACCGCGGGTGCGGCGCGGGGCAGAGCGGCGCCGCTCGGCAGCGCCCGGAGCGGGCGAGGCCTCGCCTGGGCCCGCGCACCCGCGCTCCGCTGGACGACCCGCCAGGGGCGCACGACAGCGGGGACACTTGCGCGGAAGCCGGCGCCCGGGGGCGGCGAGGTCTGACTTGGGTTGGCGGGCGGCACCGCCGCCGGCGGCGACGGCGCCTGCTCGGCGACGACGAAGGCGGCAACGACGGCGGCGTCGTAGACGACTCGACGCGCCCCAGAATCACCTAGCCGAGGAGCTCGTGAAGGCAATTTCCAGCCCGCAGTGTCGGATATGCGGAGGCTCCCGTGTCCGACGCAGGGCGCCTCACATCTTCTGTTGCTGCTCCTCGACCTCCTCCTCCTCTTTCATATAGGTTCACCCCTCTTCTTCGAAAAGCCCGAAATGAACAGACATAGCTACGCCTGCTCTCAAAGAGATGTGCGCGACACTACAAACATCATCCCCTCCCGCCCCCTCCCCCTCCTCCTCGTGCCTCCTCCTCCTCCTTCTCTTCCTCCTCCTCCTCCTCCTCCTCCTCCTCCTCCTCCTCCTCCTCCTCCTCCTCCTCCTCATCATCATCATCATCATCATCACCATCAAAGTCATCATCAGGATCATCATCATCATCATCATCATCATCATCATCATCATCGTCATCATCAGCATCAGCATCACCATAATCAGCATCGACATCATCAGCTTCATCATCATCACCATCATCATCACCATCATCAGCATCATCATCACCATCATCATCATCATCATCACCATCACCACCGTCATCATAATCAGCATCCTCATCCTCATCCTCATCATCAACATCAGCATCAGCATCATCAGCATCATCATCATCCTCGTGATCACCATCGTAAGCATCCTCATTATCATAATCAGCATCATCATGCTCATCCTCATCGTGGGCATCGTCATCCTTATTATCCTCATCTTCATCATCATCGTCACACTCATCATCATCATCATCAGCATCATCATCATTATCATCATCACCATCGTCAGCATCCTCACCAACATCATTATCATCGCAACCATCCTCGTAAGCATCCTCGTAATCAACATCATCATCACCATGATCAGCGTCATCATCATCACCCGCGTAATCATCATCGGAATTGTCATCACCATGATTGGCATGCGCGTCATCAGAACCCTCACCATCATCACATCAGCACCAACATCAGCGCCAGCGTCCTCATAATAACCATCTCCATCACCATGATCGTCATCATCATCAGCATCATCATCGGCAGCATCAGGATCAGGATCTGCATCAGCATCGTCATCAGCATCATCATCATCATCATCAGCATCAGCATCAGCATCATCATCAGCATCATCATCATCCTCGTGATCACCATCGTAAGCATCCTCATTATCATAATCAGCATCATCATGCTCATCCTCATCATGGGCATCGTCATCCTTATTATCCTCATCGTCAGCATCATCGTCACACTCATCATCAACATCATCATCATCATCAGTATCATCATCACCATCGTCAGCATCCTCACCAGCATCAGTATCATGACAACCGTCCTCGTAAGCATCCTCGTAATCAACATCATCATCACCAACATCAACATCACCATCATCATCATCATCACCCGCGTAATCATCATCGGAGTTGTCATCACCATGATTGACATGCGCGTCATCAGAACCCTCACCATCATCACATCAGCACCAACATCAGCGCCAGCGTCCTCACCATAACCATCTCCATCACCATGATCGTCATCATCATCAGCATCATCATCGGCAGCATCAGGATCAGGATCAGCATCAGCATCATCACCAGCATCATCATCAGCATCAGCATCAGCATCACCATCATCATCGTCTCTCCTCTCTCCTCCTCCATCGTCGTTGTCGTCCTCCTCCTAATCCCCCTCCTGAGCGATGTCCTCCCCCTCGTTCCTCCTCGCTCCTCGCTCTCGCTCCTCTCCTCGTTCTCCTTCTTCCCCACCGCCTCCTTGTGTCTCCTCCTCCTCCTCCTCTTCATCCTCCTCCTCCTTCCTGGTGGTCGTCGTCCTCCTCCGCCTCCTTCTTCTCCTCCTCGTCCTCTTCCTCCTCCCTCGTCACCTCCCCCCCTTCCTACATCCCGTTTTCTGTTGAATGAATCCTCCCTGTCGCACCCCAAGACACGTGGTAAAGGCGGGCAGGGCGCTTCGCCTGAGTCCCCCACCAGTTATGCTACTGAAGCTGTGAGATTAACCAGCTTCACAGATGGAGGGCGGATCGTCTTCAAACCGTGGCGCTCGCCTCAACGTCGCGCAAATTTGATCCCCGTGTTCAAATAGCAGTTCCCATTTTAGCGCCAAGCACACTCGTCTTAAACGTTTGCAGGCGTTTCACCGATGGAGGGCGGCTGCTTTCAAACCTGTGGATCTCGACCTAGCGCTGCAAACATGTAACCCAAGATTTGCCGAGGTTTGTTGTATGGAGGGCGGTGGCTGTTCAAAAGTAGCTCTCGCCTTCGCGCCGCGCACAGTGATCCCAAACGCTTGCAAAAAGCATGCGGCTCGAGGGCGGCTCCGTGTCAAAGAATGGTTATCGCCTTTTCGCGCGCACATTCGTCAGCTGTCCAAGTTGTATTGCGTCAACGCTTCAGCTGGTGGAGGGCGGCTCCTGTTCAACCTGTGACTCGCGTCTTAGCGCGGCGCGCATTCGTTCTAAACGTCCGCAAGATCCTCACGGATGGAGGGCGGCCCGATTTCAGAATTTGGCTCGCGCATCAGCGCCGCGTCCACCCGCTTGAAAGCTTTGCGGGAGCTTCATGAATGGAGGGCAGCAACGTTTCAAACTATGGATCTCTCCTTAGCGTCGCGCTCGTTTCACCACTTGTAACAGTTTCAAGGGTTCTTATGGTTGGCGTCCCAGGAGTGGTGTTCTGGCAGGAGTCAGGCTTTGTCAGGGTGCAACAGTCCCGTTGACTCGCGATGGCGACGTCAAAAGAATGGCGTGCTTGCGCGAGTCGGGATCGCCAGTAACAGTTACTCTAATTCGCGGCATTGAAGTCCCAAGGCTGGCGTGTTGGCACGATTGAGGATTATCAGAAAGTTAGCTTCCAACGGGGCACTTCCCGTAGAAATCACAAACTCTTGCAAGGACCGTTGAATAGGGAACTTGGAGGGAGCGCTTACTCCAACACCGTTAGTGCGTCTTGGGTTACCACGGGTCATCCTCCACTTCGTAAGTTCTGTCCCGCACCTCCTGCTCCTCCTCCTCCTCCTCCTCCTTATCCTCCTGCTCCTCCTCATGCTACTCCTCCTCCTCCTCACCCCTCCTCTCTCCAATCCTCCTCTCCTCATCCCTTCATCCTCCTTCTCCTCCCCCTCCTCATCCTCCTCCTCCTCCTCCTCATCCCTCCTCATCCTCCTTCCTCATAGGTTCTCTCGTTTTCCTTCTCCCCTCCTCAGCCTCACGTCCTCCCTCTCTTCCCTCCCTTCTCCTCCCCATCCTCCTCCCCTTCCTCCCTCATCCTCCTCATCCTCCTCCTCCTCCCCCTCCTCCTCCTCCTCCTCCTCCTCCCTCCCCTCCTCCTCCTCCTCCTCCTCCTCCTCCCCTCCTCCTCCTCCTCCTCCTCCTCCTCCTCCTCCTCCTCCTCCTCCTCCTCCTCCTCCTCCTCCCCCTCCATCCCACCTCCCCCGCCCGCTCGCCTCCCCCCCCCCCCAGGGCACCGCCGCCCGAGCTGCGGGTGGCGACGGCGCGCCAGCGGCACTCGTCCCAGAAGATGGCGCTCGCCTGCTGCTGGAGACGGGATAGAATTCGAGGAGAGGGGGCCAGGAGGAGGAGGAGCAGGAACAGGCGAGGAAAGCAGGAGGGGGGAGGAGCGAGGACGGGGAGGAGGAGGGATGAGCGAGGACGAGGAGAAAACGGGGAGGATGGGAAAAAGGAGCCCGGGAGGAGGAGGAGGGCGGGAGGAAGGGAGAGACGGAGGGGGGAGGGAGGACATAATCGAGAACAGGGAGGGAGGGAGGGAGGAGGGGGAAAGGAGGACGAGGGAAGATACAGGATGAAACATGTGCAGGGAAGATGGGTGAGAAGGAGGAGGAAGAGGAGAAGATGAAATAGGTCTAGCGGTGAAGAGAGCGCAGAGCTCCCAATATGTCATTGCACATGCATGGTTTCGGCATTCGAGTCCCAGCTTGAGAAGGAGGATCACAAGCGTGTAAGAGCAGGGTGATGAGGGAGGGAAGAGATTGGCTCAATCTGATTGAGGGTGATGAGCACGCAGGGGAGGTTTCCGATAGGAAGAGGACATACCCGACGCCACCCTGCTCTGAACCCTCTGGAAGGTGATGGGGGCGGGGTGGAATGTCCCCGTCCCCTGTGTCGCCGATCCCCGTGTTCCTCGTCCTGCTCTTGAAACGGAACAAGACAGGGCATGGACATAAACTTTCGGAGGTCCGCGTGGACTCCTTGGATCGGCATTGGACCCACTTTGCGGCGCCTCCGGAGCCGCCGACGGCCAGCGCTCCGCGCGGAGGGCCGATCCAAGAAAAAACCCGCGTGGAACTCCAAGTGACCCATGGCTGTGCATTTTTTCCTCTGCGAGGGGGAGGGCCTTGCTGTCCCCAACTCCCCCGCCCTGCAGATGGCACGGCAGGCTCTTTCACGCCGTGACGACCCTGGCACTGGATTTCTGTCGGCGGCGAACCCTGGGGGGAAGTGAGAAGAGGCGGGCCTTCTCAGAAAGCTCGGAAGTCACCCAGCATTCTGAGAAAATTTCTAAGCCTTTCCCCGAAGACGCAGAAACCCTCCCAGAAGGCGCGAGGGCTTCTTAGAGAAACTCCGCCGCCCTCTGAGAAGGCGTTCTCCTTGCAACTTCCCCCCCTCGCCCGCCACCGAATCTGACACCGCGCAACCCTTCAACCTGGAACAACCCGCGGCTCTCCGATCGACAGATTGTTCCGTGAAACAGGCTGCTGTGTGCAGCAAGCATGGGGAAAGAACGGAGCACCGCCCCCCTGAGGAAAAGGAAGAGAATGGAGGAGGAAAAGAGGGAGGCAGGAGGAGCTTTTTTGGCGGATGAGGAGGAGCAGGAGGAGGAGGAGGAGGAGGAGGAGGAGGAAAAGAGGATGAGGAGGAGGAGGAGGAGGAGGAGGAGGATGAGGAGGAGGAGGAGGAGGAGGAGAGAAAGAGGAGGAGGAGGAGAGGAGGAGGGGAAGGGAGAGGAGCACGAGGAGGAGGAGGAGGAGGAGAGGAGGAGGAGAAGAGGAGGAGGAGATAGGAGGAGGCGGAGGAGGGAGGAGGAGGAGGAGGAGGAGGAGGAGGAGGAGGAGGAGCAGGAGGAGGAGGAAGAGGAGGAGGAGGGAGGAGGAGGAGAGAGGACGAGGGAGGAGGAGGGAGAGGACGAGGGAGGAGGGGGAGGCGGAGGCGGGAGGAGGGCCTTGCCCCCCCCCGCTTCGCACGGCAGCCCCGCGACGCCCGCCCTGCCAAGCGCGCTCGGGGCCCCGCCCGCGCGAGCACGCGCGCGCGCGCTGGAGCGGGCCGCGGTGTCACGGGGCGTCGACATGCGCGCCGCGGGCGTTGAGCACCTCGGCGGGGTGGCCCCTGCTGCACTCCAGGGCGGAGCCTCCTCCTCCTCCTCCTCCCTCCTCCTATCTCGTCCTCCTCCTCCTCCTCCTCCTCCTCATCCTGCCCGTCCTCCTCCTGCCCTGCCTTCCTCCCCTCCTCCTCCTCCTCCTCCTCCTCTCCTCCCTACTCCTCCTCCTCCTCCTCCCCTGTCCTCTCCTCCTCCCCAAAACTTCCCGACCCCTCCTCCCTGCTCCAAGGAGGAGGAGGAGGAGGAGGAGGAGGAGGAGGAGGAGGAGGAGGAGGGAGAAGGTGGAGGCGGGGGGGGGGAATAGGATGAGGAGGAAAGAGGAGGAGGAGGAGGATCAGGAAGAGGAGGAGGAGGAGCAGGAGCAGGAGCAAGAGGAGGAGGAGGAGGAGGAGGAGGAGGAGGAGGAGGAGGAGGAGGAGGAGGAGGAGGAGAAGGAGAGGGAGGAGGAGGAGGATGAGGAGGAGGGAGAGGGAAGTGGGGAGGAAACGGATGAGGTGGAAGGAGGTGGAGGGGGGAGGAGGAGGAAGACAGCTGGACCTCGACGATCTCTTCAAAGCGGAGGTGAAAATGCTCCGCTGGACCTTGCGTGGACCGCGTTTTGGCTCAGGAGCCATTTCGTCAGAGTGACAACGAATCGTGCCATCGCGGAGGGAACTGCCCCTCCGCGCCTGCAACTGGGGCAAGGCGGCCTGCACTCGGACTCTGCGGGTTACGGCGTCGTGCACTTGGAGACAGGCCAGCGAAGGCGGCGCAACGCCGTAGATGAGCAGAATCAGAACGAGGGCCGCGTCGACGAACGCGACGCCCCGGAGGCCGCACGCAACTCACGAGATGAGGGGCCATGATTTTCTTCACGACGTGAACCTCCAGAGGTCTGGACTTCAGTCGGGCGTGTCCCCCTACAGGGGGATTTCCGACGAAAAATTTAAGATACACCAAAAAATGCCCCAAACAGGTGAAAAACTACTAAAAACAAAAGCCCCCAGACGAATTTGTTTGATCATGTTTTGATTATTTTTGGGGTATTCGTTATGTTTCGTCGAAAATCCAGCATTTTTCGATTAGTTTTGGGGTATTCGTTATTTTTCGTCGAAGCTCCCCCTGTAGGGGGACACGCCCGACTTAAGTCTGGACCCCTTCCCCCGCGACTGGCCTCTCATCCCGAGTCGTGCCTTGACGCTCCTGGGGCCCGGCGGCAACAACTGGGGGCTCCTGGGCGGCGGTTCGGGACGGTAATTAAGGGTACCCCCGCTGCGGGAACGCACCCCCGAGGTTAGCAAACCGCCGGGGCGCGAGCAACATCTCCGAAAGCCACGGAGAAGGCCCCCCCCCCTCCTCCTCCACCTCCTCCTCCTCCTCCTCCTCCTCCTCCTTCTCCTCTTCCTCCTCCTCCTCCTCCTCCTCGGCACGCGTGCGATCCGCAATAACGGATACGGGCACGGACACGGACGCGGACGTGGACACCGCCGAACGGGCGGACGGACGAACGGGAAGGCCCCCCCGAGCCAGCCCCCTCGACGGTTGCCACGCCCACGTCGTGGCTTCTGAAAGACGTGGGCCCGTGGAGGTCTCGACCCCTTCTCCGGGACCGGCTCTTCATCCCAAGTCGTCCTTCGGCGGTCCCGGGGCCCAGCGGGGGCCCCCAGAGCCCGAAGACAGCAGCAGCAACCGTCCGTCATGTTTTTTGCCACGACGCGGAAGATCAAAAGCTCGAGTTCGAAACCTCCAAGAAACCACAAATTCGTCATAAGTTCGAGACGGCCCCCGGGCTCAACGACGATGTTTCCCAAACTGCACCCGCACTGTTCTGAGATGTTAGAACTGCTTTTGAACATTCGAACTTTTCCCTAACTTGTTCTATATATTTCGAATATTTGAATATGTGTGAAATACTGTTGTTTCTATATGACTGACTTGTTGACCTTTGATCAGAAAGAATGGGTTTCGAACTTTTTCCTCGCCGCCGCGCGCTATCTAAACTGTTTCCGAATGTGTTTCTCGCTGCCGATTGTGTTCCGAACTTGTTTATCGCCGTCGAACTTGTTTCAGAACTGTTTTCCGAACTTCAGGGTTCCAGCAACGTTGAACTTGAACTTTGTGAGAACAGTGGCCTCACACTGCTCCGAACTCAGGACACGTTAACATAAGGACCGTTCGCGCCCTCTCAGCCTGTAACAAAGCCGGCCCGACAGGGCCATCAAACGCATGAAGAGACCCGATCTGAAACTTGGACGTCACGTGCTGCTGCAAACATCCCACAACAACTGCACGGTCAAAATCCGGGCCGACTCGTCAGAAAGCGCCGGCAAACCCGAGTTCTGGCGAACTCGAGTCTTACGTTTCTCCCCCCCCCTCCTAAACAAATGGGACCGTCAGAATTCAGGACGGGCCCGTCAAAAGGTGTCGACATATTAACGTTCTGGCGAACTCGAGTCTTGCATTCCCAGGATAGACGTGAGAAGTGAGCAGTCAACGACAAGGACGAGGACCAGGACGACCGCGGGGGAGGTCCACCAAGGGAGCAGGACGAGGGAAATCATGAGTAGCAGCAGCGACCCAGGAGCGCAGACGGGGTGAGGAGGAAGAGGAGGATAAAGAGGACGAGAAAGAGTGAGCAGGCACAGCGTCACCTGACGAGGAGGAGCAAGGAGGAAGGAGGAGGAGGAGGAGGAGGACGACGAGGAGGAGGAGGAAGAGGAGGCGGAGGACGACGACGACGAGGAGGCAACGGCGAAGGGGGCTTCCCCCACCTTTGAGACAACGGACTTCTGCCCCCCGCGCCTCCTCCCGGAGGGCGTCCCGCAGCGCGGGCTCGGCGGGCAGCCGAGCGCGCAGCTCCTCGGCCGGTGCGCCGCCGCAGCGCAGCGCCCACAGCAGCTCCAGGAGGCAGAGCGCGCAGTGCAGGTGGAGCCTGGAGAGAACCCAGCTCCCCAGAGATCCGGCGCATTGAAAAAATCAGGACGGGGGGGGGCGGTCGCAGGTTTCGGGCCTCCCGGGGCCCTCGCCGGGCCCCAGGACCGTCAACAGAACGACTCAGGATGAAAAACCGGTCCTTGGGTCGGGGATCTTCTGACCCGGGTCAATCCAGACCCGGGTCAGCAGGAAACCAAAAAACTGCAATGCAGGAAAAAACAACACTGCAACGCAGGTCTTCGCAAACCCGGGTCAGCCAATCTGCGCGACCGCCTCGCGGCCACGAGCGGCTCGCTGACCCGGGTCAGCCAGAAGGGGTCTTCGCAGGATCCTGCAGGATCTGGCGTCCTGGCTGACCCCCGTTTGCATTGACCCCCGTCTCAAGGCTCCCGATTGGGGAAGGGGTCGAGACTTCCGGGGACCCCGTATGGAACAAAAAACACGACATCGGCTCTCCGGATCTCCGACGGCGCGGTCGAGAGCTCCTGCTCAGCGCGTCGCGGCGGCGGCCCCCAAGGACACGCTGCGCCAGGCGGGCGGATGGCGTGCGGCTCCGCTCCGCGGGAGGCTGGGGATGGCTCGGGACGCTGACGCTCGGGAGCTCGAGTGATGTTGACGCTCGGGATGGCTCGGGACGTTGACGATCGATTGCAGATCTACCGAAGCGTTGATTTTCTCGTCGGCCCCATGAGCTATACGCAGACTGTTCGCAGAGCTGCGAACATCCTGCGCACTGTTCATGGACTCAGCGAGAAAACCAATTATGAGATGAATCGATTCTGCAGTCGATCTTCTACCCGAGGGATGCGATGGGGGGGGGGGAGCGCGCCGCGCCGACGCGTGGGCCAGAGCAGGCGTCCATTATCCCTACTGCACAGATGGGGCCCTCAGTGAGGCGACGTCTTCGCTGTGTCATTAGGGATGGGGGTTCTTCTATCCTCGGTGATTCGAGGGCCGCTTTTTCGGGCTCCAGGGCCCTCACACGTGGATGGACGAAAAGACTGCCCTCAAGGGAGGCGTTCGGGACCTCTGCTGGGGCCGCGGATGGGAAAAACTAGCAGATCGGCGGAGTTCAGGAGAAGGGGCAGGAAGGCCCCGACAACCTCGCGCCATGAGGAAGTCACGACGTCTTTCCAAGTTTTCGGACCTTTTCGTCGGTTCCTGGAGGTATTCTCGCCTCCAGACACCTTCCAGCAGCTGCGCCTCGTCGAGAGCGTTCCAGGGGTGCCTGGGTCGTCCCGATCAGCCGCTGGCCCGAGATATGGCCCGCGAATCACAAATGCCCAAGGTGTGTTTGCAGTGCTCGGCCAATCGGGGCCCTCCCCGGGCCCCGGGATCACCAAAAAAAACGACTCATGGATGAGACGCAGGCCCCAAGGAAGGGGCCCAGACATCTGGGGAGCCGAGGTGCGAACCAAAGCATGACGTCGGATGTAAAGAAAGGCGAGAGGAGCCTCGACTTCGCGTTGACGGGGTCGGGTGCCTCCGCGCAGTAGGCGCGGACGAAGCCGTCGCTGAAGGCCTGGTGGACACCCTTCCTGAGGCTCAAGGACAGGGCAGGGCCGGCTCAGAGGGCAAACGCATCGGCCTGGAACCGGGCGATGCATCGCTGGTAGGACCGGCGATGTAGGCCCCCGACAGCACATGTCCTCACGCTCGTGAGCGGTGTGGGCCGAAGGGGCCCCCTATCGGTGATGAGTGGGGGATTGGGGGTCGACGGCTTAAACACGTTTTACTGTGAAAGCTTGTGCTCGCAAATCCGGTCGGCCTCACGCTGTGTGAGCCGAGCCTCTCGATCTGCAGAGGTTGTTCAAGGCACGTGCGCTCGAGCCCTGCTGACCGGGCTGCGAAAACAAAAAAACTTGCTGAGGAAAAGTGCAGCTGTCAGACGTCCGATCTGTCACCTCAAACTTTGCTCATCGAAGGGGGATTGGGGGAGGAGGAGGAGGAGGAGGAGGAGGAGGAGGAGGAGGAGGAGGAGGAGGAGGAGGAGGGAGGAGGAGGAGGAGGAGGACCAGTGTAAACCCAAGAGTCATCAACGATGTTGGGATTAACCCTCCCTCCAAGCTCCCTCTTCATAGGCCCCTCCAGCGGTCCATTTCCATTGGGGAACTGCTTCGTTGGAAGACAGCCGTTCTAGTACCTTGAAGCATGCCAAAGCAATTGTTCTAGGAATTTCCACGCCACGGATCAACCTGACTGCTGCGTCCTGACGATTTGGAACCGTGTCAGAACGCCATATTTGGGGACTTCAACACCGCGAATCAACATAACAGTTGCACCCCCATAGTCCTGAACCCTTCCAAAACACCACTTCTGGTCCGCTGATCATGGGAATTCGCGAAGCTCTTGCAAATGTTTAAGACGAGTGTGCGCGGCGCTAAAGCGAGAGCCACACTTTGGCAAGGAACCGCCCTCAATCCGTGAAGCTCTGACAACAGCTGAACGTGCGCGGCGCTATGGCGAGAGCCACATTTTGGAAAAGGAGCCGCCCTCAATCCGTGAAGCTCGTACACAATTTCAAAATGAATGTGCGCGGCACTAAGGCGAGCGCCACATTTTGAAAAGGAACTGCCCTCAATTCGTGAAGCTCTTACACATGTTTGAAACGAATGCGCGTGGCGCTAAAGCGAGAGCCACATGTTCAAATCCACCTGCCCTCAATCCGCGAAGCTCTTGCAATTTTTTAGAACGAATGTGCGCGGCGCTGAGGCGAGAGCAACAATTTGAAAACCACCCGCCCTCAATCCGTGAAGCTCTTGCAAATGTTTAAGACGAGTGTGCACGGCGCTAAAGCGAGAGCCACACTTTGGCAAGGAACCGCCCTCAATCCGTGAAGCTCTTACAAAAGCTGAACGTGCGCGGCGCTATGGCGAGAGCCACATGTTGGAAAGGAGCCGCCCTCAATCCGTGAAGCTCGTACACAATTTTAAAACGAATGTGCGCGGCACTAAAGCGAGCGCCACATTTTGAAAAGGAACTGCCCTCAATTCGTGAAGCTCTTACACATGTTTGAAACGAATGCGCGTGGCGCTAAAGCGAGAGCCACATGTTCAAATCCACCTGCCCTCAATCCGCGAAGCTCTTGCAATTTTTTAGAACGAATGTGCGCGGCGCTGAGACGAGAGCAACAAGTTGAAAACCACCCGCCCTCAATCCGTGAAGCTCTTGCAAATGTTTAAGACGAGTGTGCACGGCGCTAAAGCGAGAGCCACACTTTGGCAAGGAACCGCCCTCAATCCGTGAAGCTCTTACAAAAGCTGAACGTGCGCGGCGCTACAGCGAGAGCCACATTTTGGAAAGGAGCCGCCCTCAATCCGTGAAGCTCGTACACATGTTTAAAACGAATGCGCGCGGCACTAAAGCGAGCGCCACACTTTGAAAAGGAACTGCGCTCAATCCGTGAAGCTCCTACACATGCTTAAAACGAATGCGCGTGTCGCTAAAGCGAGAGCCACATGTTCAAATCCACCTGCCCTCAACCCGCGTAACTCTTGCAATTGTTTAGACCGGATGTGCGCGGCGCTGAGGCGAGAACAACAATTTGAAAACCATCCGCCCTCAATCCGTGAAGCTGTTGCAAATGTTTAAAACGAGTGTGCGCGGCGCTACAGCGAGAGCCACACTTTGGAAAGGAACCGCCCTCAAACCGTGAAGCTCTGACAAAAGCTTAACGTGCGCAGCGCTAAAGCGAGAGCAACAATTTGAAAAGGAACCGCCCTCAATCCGTGAAGCCCTTACACATCTTTGAAACGAATGCGCGTGGCGCTAAAGCGAGAGCCACATGTTCAAATCCAGCTGCCCTCAATCCGCGAAGCTCTTGCAATTCTTTAGAACGAATGTGCGCGGCGCTGAGACGAGAGCAACAAGTTGAAAACCACCCGCCCTCAATCCGTGAAACACTTCTAATTTTGTACAAAAGCACGAATGTGCGCGGCGCTAAGTCTAGCGCAACATTTTACAAACGACCCGCCCTCCATCTGCGAAACTGTTGCCAATCTTTAAGCTTCAGAGTCATCAGCGGTGAGGAAGTCTCAGGCGAAACGCCCGGCCCGCCCAAAAAACTGGCCTCGGGGTGCGACAGGGAGAAATAATGTTTAAGGAGAAGGAATGGAAGAGGAGGAGGAGGAGGAGGAGGAGGAGGAGGAGGAGGAGGAGGAGGAGGAGGAGGAGGAGGAGGAGGAGGGGAGGAGGAGGAGGAGGAGGAGATTGGGGAACGATGCGTCCTGTCCTGAGCCCATCCGTGGCGGCGCGCCCGGGGAGAAGGCCGAGATGGCGGGCCCTCTCAGAAGGCGGCGGGGCTTCCCACGAGCCCATGGCGCCTCCCGAGAGGCTCGGCAAGCCTCCTCCGAAGCCACGGGCGGCGTCTCAGAAGGCTAAAAAGGGCTGCTGAGAAGCCCCGGCGCCTTCTGAGATGGCCTGCCCCCTCTCGCTTCCGAGAGGGACTTCTGAGAAGGCCCTCTGAGAAGGTCTTCTGATAAGGCCTGGGCTCAGGAGGCCTGGGCTCGCCGCCGATATCATCCCCTCCCAACCGTTGCCCCTGACCTGCCTGCGGGGACAGCAGGCAACCACAACCACATCGAGGACAGACCCTGGGCGATGTCGTGCGCATGCCGACACTTGTTAGAACACCGAGGACAGCTTAGTGCTGGCCGTGGTCGATGTTGCGTGCCAGGACGGCCAAGTTGACCACAACAACAACCAGAGTGCTCATGTCGAGGCCGGTGGCTTTTTCCCCGAGGGCCCATCCCGCAAAATCCACATGATTGTGGTTGTGGTTGTGGCGTGTTGGGGGAAACACAGAGGTACCAATACTGCTACTCCCCAGACCTCTCCTGGGGTGCGTTCTGGCCAGAACTTCGAGGCGAATCCGGCGGTGGCGACGAGGGCCTCCCAGGAGGCCCGAAAAGAGGAAAACGAGGGAATGGCAGCGGTCTCGGTACCTCTTCCCAGACCCCGACGTCGTGATTTTTTACGACGTCGGCCCCAGAGGTCTGCATGGACCCCTTCCCCAAAGACCGGTTTTTCATCCCGAGTCGTTTGTTGACGGTCCTGGGGCCCGGCGAGGGCCCCGGGAGTCGGCGGTGGACAAACCTCCCTTTAGTAAACCTCCCCTTAGTGAAAGCGGCCTGGGACCGAAACCGACGGACCTGGACCCACAAAAATGACGGCCGCGACGCCCTCTCGCGAAACGAACACGGCCAATTCCTCAATCGACGTGTCAGGGTAGGAGGTCTGTGTACCCCCGAGGGAGCCCGAAGACTGCGCCAAACCTCCCGCCTTGATTCTTTTGCCCGTGCGCTGCATCGCTGGGATCTTTGCCGTTTTGGACGCCCGAAATGGGTACCGAAAGAATGGGTACAATGCCCAACAGCAAATGTTGTCCCAAACCAACAGCGGCCGCTGTTGGGCAGGCGGCCCCCTGTCTCGAATGGACACAGGCCGCGGCGGCGTGGACAGCGAGCCCCGTTCAAAATGAACAAGATCCGCTGTTGGGCATTGTACCCATTCTTTCCGTACCCATTTCGTGCGTGCATAGCCGTGCCCGCGCTCCCGAGGTCGGAGCCCGCCAGCCCGCGCTGCAGCACGGCGTCGAGGCGCAGCACCAGCAGCAGCTGCGCCGCCAGCCGGCCCGGCTTCGCCAGGACCGGCAGCGGCCCCCACAGGGCGGCGGCGGGCGGCGCGCCGCCCCCCGAGGTGAAGCGGACGAGGAGCTGATCGCAGCTGGGGAGCGCCTCCAGAGGGATCGCAGAGAACACAAGCCTTCTCCCTCGCGTCGGGAAGAAACATCGCGAGGAGGAGGAGGAGGAGGAGGAGGAGGAGGAGGAGGAGGAGGAGGAGGAGGCATCTCTCGCTATGTTCGGCCTCCGGGGGCCCTCGCCGGGCCTCGGGAACATCAAAAGACGACGCGGGAGAAGAAACTGATCCCGGGGAAGGGGTCCAGGCCTCTGGGGGTCGACGTCGCTTGAAAGAATCACGACGCCGGGGGTCTGGGTAAGCATTAAACGCGCGGAGCTCCGATAGTTTTTGAGCCTCTGCCGCGCTCAGTTCCTCGAGCCTCGAGGCTGAGGTAGCAGGAGGCGTGGCTGGCCACGAGGCCCCCGTAGCAGCTGAGCGACAGGAACAGCCTGGCCCAAGGGCGGCCGGCACCGGATCGACGGATCGGATCGGGCAGGAGCAGGCATCGCAATTGGGGCCGCATCGGCGCGGGGTCGGAATCGAGGCGAATCGGCTGCGCCAGGAGGACCAGTAAGGCCGTGCGAGCATCGGGTCGCATCGGATCGATCGTCGAGATACCATGGGATCCGCCGTAGCGCAAAAATGCAAGATCGCAGAATATCCCGGTCAAAGCCCTAGACCTCCTCCTTCTGCGGCACTTTTCGAGCTGGATCGATCTGTGATGGCCCCGGGGCCCAACCCGGGTGGAAAAAACGCCGGGTGTGCACAACAGTGCATCTCAAGGCTTCGGAAGCGAATCGGACCGAGCTGGCCGGAGTCGATACCGCATCGGATCGGTCGCATCGACATATATATATATATATATATAGATGTGGACTCTTGCCTGGTCCAGTACTCCTCGTCGTTCTCCACGGGCGCCTCGGAGGACACCGCGCGCCAGAGCTCCACCACGGCCCTCGCGGGCTCGTTGCAGGCCACCCTGGCCGGCGGGGGCGCCGCGGCAGCGGCCCCCGGCGCGGGCGCCGAGGCCCCGTCGCCCGGGCGCGCGCCGAGGGCCGGGCACAGCCAGCCGAGCGGCCCGCCGCCCCCGGCCGCGGCCGCCTGCCGCAGCGCCGCCGCGGAGGCGCCCAGCAGGTCCGCGGAGGCGCGGCCCAGGGCCTCTGGCGGGGCGCACAGCCCAGACCCCCTCGAGTCATGAAAAAATCACGACGAAAGGTTTTTCGCTATTTTCGGCCTCTGGGGGCCCTTACCGGCCCTCAGGACCGTCAAAAAACGACTCAGGATGAAAAGCCGGTCCTGGGGAATGGGTCTGGACCTCTGGGGGCCGCGTCATGAAAAAATCATGACGTCGGGGGTCTGGGAGGGGGGTAGTAAGGGGGAGGGGAGAAGGCTTCTTAGAGGGAGAGGCTGCCTCTTGGAGGGCGCGAGCCTCGTCTGCAGAGGTCTGGCCCGCGGCTTCTGGGATGCAGCCTCCTTCTGAGAGGCCTTCCCCCCTTCCCCTGCCCCCGTCTGCGCGCCGCCAAGGCCTGCTCGGCCGCCTCGGCGCCCACCGGCGCGCGCTCGGTGGCCGCAGCCAGGCGCGCCAGGCACGCACCTGCGGGGGCAGCTCGTGGCGGGGGGGGCCTCCCACACCATCCTCCATCCCATCTTGTCGGCTCCTGCGAATCGGCGCTCGTCGTCGCTACATCGATGTTTATCGACGCTAAGCCGACGCCACATCGGAGCAATCTCATCGACTCCCGGAGGCTAAATCGACGCTCGTCGACGCGAAAGACGGAAGTAAGAGTTGAGCAGGGACCGACCGTTCTGGCATTCCTACAGGCCTGCCACGACATGCCCGTAGAATCCCAGAATGTTCCAAACATAAAGCAATGCCCTTAGAACACAACCCGACGTCTTAAAACAAGACAGCCCCAGCCAGAAAGGTTCTGAGAACATGTCGTGCAGACCACACGGGTTCTCAGAACATTCTTGGGTGGGCCCCTAGGAAAGCCAGGACGCTTCGCCACAGCTCGAAAGATGACGAACCAACAACACACACCCATACCCATAGGGGGGTCGGAGAGGGCTATGGGTGCGTGTTGTCGGATGGGGGTCCCCGTTCGAGCGGGAGCGTTCCCCAGGGTTCGACAACCCGCACCCATGATTACCCATAGCCAGTCCTCCTCCTCCCAACGACCCCCCTATGGGTATGGGTGTGTGTTGTTCGTTCGTCAAAGGAGGGTGTGCCAGGCTCCCATGATTTACTGCCGAACGCACCCAGCAGCAGCGCCTCGGCCGTGGCGTGGTGGCTCCGCGCGATCGGGAACTGGGCCGGCAGGCTCCCCGCGGACCTCGCGGCCTGGGGCGTCGACTATACCAACTGGACAACCCCAGCACGACCCGAGGACCCGAAGCTCGGGTTGGGGGGGATGCGGGTCTCATATCCAGAGGTCCAACGTCTTGAAAGCTTGAAAGAATCGGGACGGAGGTTTTTTGCAGCTTTCGGTCTCTAGGGGCTCTCGCCGGGCCCCGTGACCGCCAAAACGCGACTCGGGATGAAAAACCGGTCCCGGGGAATGGGTCGAGACTTCCAGGGACCCCGCATTGGAAAAATCGCGGCATCGGATCTCTGGGATCCCAACCCGAGCCGAAGACCCGAATTTCGGGTACGGGGGGGGGGGGGTACGGGCCTCACATCTGTTCCCCGCCCCCCCCCCCCACCGGAAATGGAGGGCAAATCGGGGCCTTCGGGTTGGGTTGGGGTGGTTTGGTGGGCGGCCTGGGACAGCGCCTCCGAGGCCAGCACGCTCTGGGCGGGCACCAGCGCCAGCGCGCCGCCCGCGCGGGGCGCGCCGAACACGAGGGCCAGCTCCCGCGCGGGCGGCTGGCGCTGCAGCGCGGCAAACGCCGCGGCGAGCTCTGCCGCGCCCGCGTCCGCGCCGCAGGGCACGTCGCCCCCGCCCCGGAGGTGCCTGCAGGGGCCCAGGGACACACAAGCAAATGTATCAAATCCCAGAGCTCCCCATATCTTCTCCTATTTCCTGGGTTTTCGTTTTCCCCCCACCTCCTCCCAATGAGTTTCCCATACTTTCCGGCGAATCGGCGATTGATTGTGTCTGTGTGCTCTTTGCCCCTCCCGAGCGCCAGCCGCGGCCCACCTTGCCGCCGGCGGCGTCCTCGCGCACCACGACGCCGTCGAGGCGCACGGTGGCCAGCTCCGCGGGCTGCAGTGCCGCCACCACGGGCGTGAGCTCGATGGTGTAGGCCTCCGGGAACTCGGGCAGCCCCTGCCAGGGCGGCCCGTCACGCAGCAGCGCGATGCTGCAGGCAGGCGCCTCGGGCCCCGCCCCCCGCGGCAGCAGCACTGCCGCGCGGCGCATCGCCCACGGAGGCATGGCACCGCCAGGAACGTCGACGTGCCCAGCAGCGGCCCCGAGCGCCTGATCTACCAGCGCGGCGAGGGCCAGCATACGGAGTGCGCGAACGACGACGCTCAGCACGGTGCCCGCGTCCTCGCCCGCCGCTCTCTGCACCAGCTGCATCCGCAGCTGCACGCCGGCGGCCAGGAGGTCGGCAGCCCAAGGGCACGGGCCCTGCGAAGACCCGTAGGGCACAGCCAGGCTGCCGCTGAGCAGCCCCGCCTGCCAGGGCGCCAGGCTCTGCCGCGGCACCCCCGCCGGCAACGCCCCGGAGGCGGAGCCGATACCAAAGCGGGGGTCCGACCAGCGGATGCACCTCCCCGCGAAGTCGATGGTCACGTGCGTCCCCGGCTCCCCGCTGCGCGGTCCCGCAGCGTGGGGCCACAGCGCCGCAACGAGCGCGTCGACGTCGGGGGGCCCCAGCAGCACCACGGCCCCGCCTGCCAGGAGCGCCTCCCAGGCCTCGAAGAGCGCGCAGGGTGCGCAAAGGCCCCTCGCCCTCCTGGAGCGCAGCTCCCCGAAGGCGCGCAACTCTCGTGCCAAGCACAGTCTGGTGCACAACGCCGCGCTGGCCATGGTGGGCTCGGCCACGGCGCCCGCGGCCGTAGCGGCGGGGCTCAGCGGCGCCAGGGCAACAATGGTGCGGACGCTACCCTCGAGAGGCATGGGCCCATCGCCCGTGGTCTGCAGCAGCGTGAGGCCGAGGGGCGGCCTGCTCATCCGCTCCAGCAAGGCCGCGAACGTCGCCCGCGGGGGTTGCGCAATCACTGCAGGCCTTGCGGCGGCGGCGGGCTGCGCCGCCGCGATAGGTGGCTGCTGAGCGGAGGAGGTGGCAGCTGGGGCCGCGGAGGCCGTCTGCGGAGCAGCCCCAGCAGCAGCGCCCGCCGGAGGTGCGGGCAAAACCACGACTGCCTCCTCGCCACCCAGCAGGTCGCTCGCGATGGCTGCCAGCACCGCGCTCGCGTGCCGTCGCGAGTGGCACGTGGTCGCCAGCAGGGGCACCGCCGGTCGTCGCGCGCCCAGCCGCAGCGCCCCAGCGGCCGCGCCGCCGGGCGGCTCCTGCGACTGCGCGCGGCGCGGCCGGACGGCCGCGGGCGCAGGCGTGGGCAGCCGCGGCCGCAGCAGGCCGTGGAGCGAGGTGAAGAGCGGCGGGGGTGCGGGGCGCGCGGCGTCGGAGATGTCCACGAACGGCCACCTCAGCACTGGTGGCGTGGAGCCCGCCCGCTGCACCGACGCCCCGAAGCACAGTTGCAGGAGAAGGGCCACGGCGTCGTGGCGCCTCACCACGAACATATGGTGGGCCGCCCCCTTGAGGTACTCCAGCCAGCCCTGCAGCGACTGGCTGAGCTGCGGCACGCAGAGCGCCCCTGGGTCGCGAGGGTGCTTCGTGGGCGGGGGGATGCCGAGGAGCAAGCAGAGGTCCGAGAGCCTGGGCCGACAGGATCGGTCGGCCAGCACGAAGAAGCCATTGGCCAGGAGGAGCTCGCGAGCCACCTCGAGCATGCCGTGCCGAGCCGCGTCCTCGAACACCACCAGCACCGAAATCTCGGGGCCTCTGGTGCCCCCCTGCGGTGCCGCTGGCGCCGGCAGCACCCTGGAACCGGGTGGCAGATGGGGCCCCCCAGCGCACAGCTCGCTGACTGTGGGCGCTGGGCCAGCTGGGGCAACGGCGGCTCCTGCCGGCACGCCCGACTGCGGGCCCCCGGCCGCCGCACCTGGAGCAACGCCAGGGTCCTGCTCGTGCGCAAGCAGGCGACCGACCCCGCACACGACGATCGACGCCTCGCTCCGGGGCTTCCTGGCGTCCACGGCGTGGGAAACGGAGCGAATCGCGAAGTCGTGAAGGAGAAGCCCTCGGAGAACCCGTTGCAACTCCTCGTCGTCGAGGGGCGGGGTCTTGACCTCGTGGGCGCGCGCCTGGAAGAATCGGGGGAACCGGCGCATGGCCTCCAGGTGCGTGTCGCGCCAGTGCCGCTTCTCCAGCGCCTCGTCGCGCGGCCTCCGGGTGTGCTCCGGGTGGACGCGGAACAGGGGCGTGCTGGCAGCGCTGGCCACGTCGCCCCCCTGCCCCTGCGCCGCCAGAGTGTGTCCAGATCCACTGCTGCGGGGTCGTGCCCCAGGCACGCGGGGAGCGGCGGATCGCACTACCTGCCCGCCCATGTGGGCGGGCCCCTGAGACCTGACATTGCGAAGCACTGCAACGGTGCGGCAAACCACGAGTGGAGACTTTGGACCCCACCTTTCCGCGACTTTTTTCCGAGCCCGATGGACCTGTGACGGTCCTGGGCCCGACTCCGCGCAAAAGCGCCCAATGTCTCAGGGCAGACACCCGCGTCCACCACTCCTCCGAGACCTCAGGGTTCGGGCATGTCCTCCTACAGGCGGATCTTGAACATAAAATGAAACATTGTCATAAGATCGTCCCCGGAGCATGGGCCAGGGACATGCCCGACTTCACGTAGCGACCAGATCTCAGGGCAGGCACCCGCGGCCACCACTCCTCCGCTGGGCACGGCTCCGCAGGCGGCGGGCGTGGACCTACGTTCTGGCCGGGGACCCCCGGCGCGCCGCCCGCGGCGCCGCCTGGCAGCGAGAGGAGGAGCGCCTCGAGCTCGGGCAGGCGCAGCGCCGAGAGGGGCTGCACCAGGAGGAGGTACCGGTCCTGGAGGCACGGCGGGTGGACCAAAAGTGTCCACGCGTGTCTCGCCAAGACCCTCCTCCTCCTCCGCCTCCTCCTCCTCCTCCTCCTCCTCCTCCTCCTCCTGAATCCTCCTCCCTCCTCCTCCCTCCTCCTCCTCCTCTCCTCCTCCTCCTCCTCCCTCCTCCTCCTCCTCCTCCCCCTCCTCCTCCTCGAGCTATCAAAGCACGTCGGACCAGAATGTATACCCCCCTCCCCCCACATTCAAAGTTGACCCGCTTGGGCGGCAGACCAAAGAGACCAGGGACAACAGGTGGCCACTTCTTCAGATTTTGGTTTGGGGGGGGAGGGGTGCGAAGCAAGGGCATTTCGCAGATGTGGTTGTTGCCATGTTGCATCGCCGTACCGCCATGGGTGTGGACACTTCTTGTCCGGGCACCGTACCGATGCCGCTACACCCCCCAGACCTCTCGCAGGTGGCGTTCTGACCCGCACTCCGACGAGGACCCAGCGGTGGCGACGGTGGCCTCCCAGGAAGCCCACAGCAGGCGACAGCGAGGCAGGGGCGGCGGTAGCCTCACCCTTTTCCTCCTCTGAGCCCCGGTCCTCCACGCGCGCGCCAGCGGGCGCCAGCGCGAGCGCGTCGCGCACCTGGACGCGCCTCTCCCTGAGGGCGAGCACGCCGGTGGGCAGCGCCGACGCCCCCGCGCCCAACGGCACCTCCGCAAGCAGCAGAAAGAAGCCGTACACGAGCACGTCCTCGACGCAGGGCCACGGGAGCTGCACACATCCACTGCCGCCCCCAGAGATTCGGGCGTTGCGATTTGTCCACACGCGGGGGATTCTTCTGCCGTATTTCTGGACCCCTCGGGCTCTCAGGGATCGAGATGGCTCGAAAGGTGCGGCAGAAATCGGGGACCTACTGTACTGACCCGGATGAATGCAAAATCGGGCTTTGCAGGATCCTGCAAGATGCTGCAGGATCCTGCGAGATCCTGCGCCCAATCCCGGGTCAGTGCACCCCAGGACCTGCAGGATCCTGCAAGAGCCGACGCTCTGACGAACCCCCGTTTGCATTGACCCCCGTCGCCTGAGCCCCGAAGAAAGATGGGGGTCCAGGGCAGCCGATCAAGTAAGCAAAATCTGGCACAGAAGACATGTTTGGTAAAGCCTTGTTCTTTAACTCGATCTACTGGAGGAGAGGCATTTGGTCCTGATCTCTCTCTCTTTCTCTCTCTCTCTCTCTCTCTCGATGTCGAATCTTTCGCAACACGTGGGATCTCTCGGGGCTTGGCCAGGCCAAGCAGCGGTGCCTATACGCCCTCCTGGCCTGGCCATGCGAGGCATGTGCACCGCTCTGTTGGAAGAGCCCAGGGACGCACAAACAGATACACGCAAATCTCAAAACCCCCCATAGTTCCCGATATGTTCTGGATGGTCGCCTTCCCGCCCACTTCCCACATGTTCCCAGATGTTCCGTGGAATCGACGATGATGTGTGGAGGAGGAGGAGGAGGAAGAAAAGGGGGAGGTGGGACGAGAAAGGAGGAAGGGGGAGAAGGAGGAAGAGGAGGAGGATGAGGAGGAGGGGAAGGAAGAGGAGGAGGAGGAATGTGCTCTCGTCTTCCTCCTGACCTGTGGCAAAACGTGGAAGCCTCCCATACCATCTCGCCGGCTCCTGCGGGTCGACGCTGCTGGACGCTAACCCGACGCTCATCGAGGCCTCCTCCTCCTCCTCCTCCTCCTCCTCTTCCTCCTCCTCCTCCTCCTCCTCCTCCTCCTCCTCCCCTCCTCCTCCTCCTCCTCCTCCTCCTCTCCTTCCTCCCCCCCCTCCCCCCTCAGGGGCAAGGGGGAGGCTTTCAGGAGGAGGATTGAGGCTACGCCAGCGCTGCTCATGGACGCTGCTGGACGCTAATCCGATTGCCCGACGCTGATCGGCGACATCTCGGAGAGGCGTAAGACTCGGGTTCGGGGGACTCGGGCTGGCCTGACGGGGACCTCATGAAGACGACGAGGCCCAGTGTCTGCGATCTGACGCGAGCTCCCGCTGCACACATCCCGCGACAACTGGACCACCAGCATCCCGGCTGCGCCCATCACAAAGCGCCGACAAGCCCGAGCTCTGGCGCACTCGAGCCTTGGGCCTCTCCCAGAATGCGCTCTGGGGACGGAAGTGCGGGGCTGTACAAAACTCCCAGGATTTGCTGGCTCTTGCAAGTCGACGCTGCTGGACGCTAATCCGACGCTCATCGAGGCTACGCCAGAGCTCTTCAGTCGATTGCCCGACGCTGATCGGCGCTAATGTCGGGGAGTCGTTAGACTCGGGTTCGGGGGTCTCAGGTTAGCCTTGCGGGGCGGGGCCATCATGAAGACGACGAAGCCCAGTCTGAGATCGGATGCGAGCTCCCGCTGCAAACATCCCGCGACAGCTGGACCGTCAACATCCAGGGCGCGCCCCCGTCACAAAGCGCAGGTAGATTCGAGCTCGAGCCGTCCCCCGAGCCCTGGCGTCGTGATTTGTTCACGACGCCTGCCCCCAGAAGTCTGGACCGCTTCCCCGGGACCAGGTTTCGATGCTCCCGGGGCCCGCTGAGGGCCCCCCGGAGGCCGAGAATGGCCAAAAAGCTGTGTCGTGACTTCTGTCACATCGCAAGGGGGCCTGGGCATAACTTGCCCCGAGAATGCGCTCTGAAGATGGAAGCGCGAGAAACATACAAGGCCCCCATGCTTTGCTGCCGAGTGTGCGCCGCTCCTCGGGCCAGGCCGTCAGGGCCGAAGAGCCCAGACTCGCATCGACAAGCCGGATCGGCGATCGGCACGAGTCGGCTCGGCGGAGATCGGCAGCCGAGGCGGGAAAAGCCGAATCGGCGGAAAAGTCGGCAGGCTCGTGCACGCGTCCAGTGAGAACTCGGAGCCCGGATCGGGACCCCAAGTCGAATCGAATCGGAATCGGAAGCCGTCGAAACCGAATTCGGAGGAATCGACATTCGTGTCGGGCGAAAGGGGGGGATAGCAAAAGGGGGGGGGTGAGAATCATCCCACGTAGCTGATTTTCCCGGCGCCTCCCGGCGCCAGAGGCGGCTACGTATCGAGGAGTGGGCCCCTCGGCGAAGCCGAAACCAGCTGCATGCAGCAAATTTCGTGCCCCCCCCTTTCCCAATCCACCCCTTTCGCCTGGCCCGAGACAGTCGGATCGGCGATCGGCACGAATCGGCTCGGCGGAAATCGGCAGCCGAGTCGGGAAGAGTCGAATCGGCGGAGTTCGGCAGGCTCGCATACGCGTCCAGTGAGAGCTCGGAGCCCAGATCGGGACCCCGAGTCGAAGCGAATTGAAATCGGAAGCCGTCGAAACCGAATTCGGAGGAATCGACATTCGGGTCGGGCGAAAGGAGGGGATAGCAAAGGGGGGGTTTGAGAATCATCCCACGTAGCTGATTTTCCCGGCGCCTCCCGGCGCCAGAGGCGGCTACGTATCGAGGAACGGGCCCCTCGGGGAAGCCGAAAGCGGCTGCATGCAGCAAATTTCGTACCCCCCCCTTTCCAAATCCACCCCTTTCGCCTGGCCCGAGACAGGAGCCCTGCCTGGCCAAGGGACGCCGCGGCGGCGCGTGCACAGATCCAGTGAGGACTCGGAGCCCAGATCGGGACCCCGAGTCGAAGCGAATCGGAAGCGGAGGCCGTCGAAACCGAATGCGGAGGAAGCGACAGGAGCCCTGCCTGGCCCAAGGGACGCCGCGGCGGCGCGTGCACAGACCGCGCAACGCGCGCTCCTCGGGCGCGCGGGAGCGCCAGAGCGCCGCCAGGAGCTCGGGGGCCACGGCGCCCTCGTGGAGCCCGCGGGGGCGGACCTGCAGCCGCCCGAGGAGGAGGAGGAGGAGGAGGAGGGAGGAGGGAGGAGGAGGAGGAGGAGGAGGAGGAGGAGGAGGAGGAGGAGGAGGAGGAGGAGGAGGACGAGGAGGAGGAGGAGGCGGCGCTCCTGGCGGCGAGCGATGTACTGTTCTTCCCCCCCGGAGAGCCCCGGGGGGCGAGCGGGGGCCGGGTGAACAACTTGCGGGATCCAAAATCGGAGATGGACAGAATCGGGGGGACGTAAGACCTGGGTACAGGGGGCTCGGAGATCCCCGACGAGGTCGTCAAAAAAATGACGAGGCCGAGCCTGCATTTTGACGAGGCCTCCCGCTGCAGACATCCCACGAAACTCCTCCTCGTCAAAATCCGAGGCGCGGTCGTCAAAAAACGACGGCGAACCCGAGTCCTGGCAAACCCGGGTCTTACGCTCCCCCGACAGAACCCCCTTTAGCAAATCGTGGTTTAGTGAAAACGACCTCGGGCCCAAATCTGGCGGGCGCAGCCCTGGAAAAGGACGGCCGCGGCACCCTCTCGCAGACCGAAAACGGCCAATTCGCTGATCGACGTGTCAGGGGTAGGAGGTCTGTCCACCTCCGACAAAAGCCGGACAGCAAGGCACCCGAAGGGCCTGGTATTAAGTCGGGCCTGTCCCCCTACAGGGGGATTTTCAACGAAAAATAAAGAATGCCCCAAAAATAATAAAAAACAAATTGTCCAAAAGTAGTATGGGGACTATGTTTTGAGTAGTTTGTAACCTTTTTGGTGTATTTTGTTTGGTATTTTTTATTGTTCGTCGAAAATCCTGTATACAACTTGTGGGACCAAGCCTGGTATACAACTTGTGGGATCCAAAACCTGGTATACAACTTGTGGGATCCAAAAGCCGGACAGCAAGGCACTCGAAGGGCGTGACAAGGCTCGTCGAAGGACCCTGGAAGGACCTGGAGAGAGCTTGCGAAGGACCTTCTGGAGAGCTTCTGGGCACGCGTATTGGGAAACGCTAAGAACAGGCCTCTCGGGACCCGTTTCCGGCTCAAGCGACTCGCGCCGAGGCTTCCTGCCGGAAGCCGGAACGACCTCCGGGGCTACCCTGCGGCTCTGGCTTCTGAATATGAAACCCTCGTAGCTCTCTACGAGCTATCCGGGAACATTCCCTCCCTGGGGCGTGTTTTTTTCTATGGTGAAGGTGGCCCCGGGCGGTGGAATCCGACTGGGGCAGGGAGGGTGTGAAAGCGAGAGTGCTGGATGGCCCAGCGTTTGCCCCTCGTCTCACTTGTTTCTTATCCGTAAACGTTGCGGCTCCCAGGGCCCTTGAGTCTCAGGCGACGTACGGAAAACAGGAGCGCCTATCTCAGAAGTTGCATCTTCACAGAGGGTGTGGCATACGAGCAAAATCTGGAGGACTGCAGGGGAGAAATTGATCCGAAAGAGTTCCTCTGATTCTGCTGGTCTCAGTTCGGGTAGCGGTCGCTGCCCTGAGAGGGGGGGGGGGGGGGCGGGTTGCGGCGCTGGGCCACGGCAGCGCTCGAGCGAGGTGGGGCACGTCGGGGCGGGGGTGCGCTGCGATCGCCACAGCCCGCGCGCGGGCGCCAGCATGCGGCGGGGTGTCGAGGCCCCCCTCCCCGCGTCCGATCGCTACCCATCGGGTTGGAAGAAGTGGGCAGAAGCATGACGTGGGAAGGCGTTGACAACAGATTGGGTTCCGTCCGCCACCCGAGGAGGTCGGAAAGTGTGAAGCCACTCGATCGCTGAAGCAGGAAATTGCTAAAGGCAGATTGGAATCCGGGAATCCAAAATACCTAGTTTCAACGACCGATGGGTACTGTAACCTTTTGGGCGGGGGGCCCGGGCAAGCGAGGGTCTTGCCATGGCTCGGACGTCCATTCCCCGTGCATGCCTCGATTTCGCGCGCGTGCTTTCCGCAAGAAGATGATCCAGGATGCTGCTCGATGCTCCGCGCCGAGGAAACTGCGCACGCCCGAGCGCTGCCAGCGGGGTACGCGCCAGAGGATGAAAAGAGGCAACCTCCGTGGAACTCGCGTCGTCCACAGCCTGGGGCGCGCGAGGCAGTGGTGCGCCTGCTCGCGACCTCCCGACACCGGCCCCGAAGGAAGAACAAACGAATTCCTGACTGGCGGGTGCGCATGGGTCGAGTGGGAAATAAACTGCACAGTTGATATGTCCCAAAGTTGTTGTATTCGTTTCGTCTACGAAGAACGACGCATAATCTTTGTAGATGTACGAACAATTCCACGTATTGTTCGTGGGCTCAACGGGAAAACCAAGTTTGGGGTAAATCAACTCTGTAATCGATCCCCTTCTCGAATGGCAGGTCCTCGCCAAATCGACACGGAATAGTCCCCAGCGCCTGGGGAAGGGAAGGCTCGATCGCGCCTCCGCACACGGTGCCCCTGGGGCCCCTGACACAGCCTCTGGGAATAAGGAGCGTCATCCCCAGACATCCGACGATCTGACTTTTTGCGGCCCAGACGTCCCGACCGCTCTACTTACTGGAGGTTATACATTAAGTCGGGCATGTCCTCTTACAGGCGGATTCTTAAAGAAGAATGAGAATAGTCAAGACATCTTCGAAAATAGCAAAAAAAGAAAAACAAAAAAACAACATCCCATAACAATTGTCTTACTATTACTGTATATTCCTCCTGCAGGGGCACATGCCCGCCTTAATTATAGCATGGATCTGTTACCCAGCGTGTCGCAGCGGCGGCCCAAGCGACACGCTACGCCCTGCAAGCTGATAGCGTGTGGCGCCACGCCGTGGGGGGCAGGGGACCGGGACAAGCCCGAGACGTGGACACTCGGCGACGGGGATATGGTCAGCGTGTCACGCTCCGCAGCGGTGTGGGCCAGGACCACTGGGGCCACGCGCTCAGCAAAAGTCTCGGCCGTATGTTTCGTCACAGCCCTAGGCTTGATGGGACCGGGGCCCGATCAAGGGGCCCAAAGGACGAAGTTGAGGCAAGACGCCGGCATGGGCAAACATGAGATCGTCGGAGATCTGGGCCTCCGCCGCGGCGTCAGCATGGCAAAAGCTCGCGCCACAAACTACAGATCAGCCGCACCCGCAGAGCGGCGGGCTAGCAACTCGGGGAGACGACGAAGAAGGAGGAGGTGGAGGTGGAAGAGGCGCGGCCATCTGCGCCACTATGAACCGCCGGAAAGGGACCGGCCGGATCTTCCAGAACAGGATGGAAAAATGATCCCGGCAAAGCAACCTAACAGCGATGTGTAGGAGCATATCTGGAAGCATTCCCCTTAAGATTCAGATGAGCATCCTGTTGTAGGATTCTGCTGTTCTCGCAGTCGTAGTCGCATTCGCGATGGCAGTCGCAGTGGCAACGGCAGTCGCGGTCACAGCCTCAGCCTCAGCCTGCCTCAGCCTCAGCCTCAGCCTCAGCCTCAGCCTGCCTCAGCCTCAGCCTGCCTCAGCCTCAGCCTGCTTCAGCCTCAACATCAGTCTGCCTTCAGCCTCAGCCTCAGTCTCAGCCTGCCTCAGCCTCACCCTGCATCAGCCTCAGCCTCAGCCTCAGCCTGCCTCAGCATCAGCCTGCCTCAGCCTTAGCCTCAGCCTGCCTCTGCCTCAGCCTCCGCCTGCTTCAGCCTCAGCCTCAGTCTGCCGTCGGCCTCGGCCTCAGCCTCAGCCTGCCCCAGCCTCAGCCTGCATCAAACCCAGCCTCAGCCTCAGCCTCAGCCTCAGCCTCAGCCTGCCTCAGCATCAGCCTGCCTCAGCCTCAGCCTCAGCCTCCGCCTGCCTCAGCCTCAGCCTCAGCCTGCGCCTCAGTCTGCCTGCAGCCTCGGCCTCAGCCTCAGGCTGCCTCAGCCTGAGCCTGCCTCAGCCTCAGCCTCAGCCTCAGCCTGCCTCAGCCTCAGCCTGCCTCAGCCTCAGCCTGCCTCAGCCTCAGCCTCAGCCAGCCTCAGCCTCAGCCCCAGCCTGCCTTCAGCCTCAGCCTCAATCTGCCTTCAGCCTCGGCCTCAGCCTCAGCCTGCCTCAGCCTCAGCCCTGCATCAGCCTCAGCCTCAGCCTCAGCCTGCCTCAGCATCAGCCTGCCTCAGCCTCAGCCTCAGCCTGCCTCAGCCTCAGCCTCAGCCTGCTTCAGCCTCAGCCTCAGTCTGCCTTCAGCCTCGGCCTCAGCCTCAGCCTGCCTCAGCCTCAGCCTGCATCAGCCTCAGCCTCAGCCTCAGCCTGCCTCAGCATCAGCCTGCCTCAGCCTCAGCCTCAGCCTCAGCCTCAGCCTCAGCCTCAGCCTGCTTCAGCCTCAGCCTCAGTCTGCCTTCAGCCTCGGCCTCAGCCTCAGCCTGCCTCAGCCTCAGCCTGCATCAGCCTCAGCCTCAGCCTCAGCCTGCCTCAGCATCAGCCTGCCTCAGCCTCAGCCTCAGCCTGCCTCAGCCTCAGCCTCAGCCTGCTTCAGCCTCAGCCTCAGTCTGCCTCAGCCTCGGCCTCAGCCTCAGCCTGCCTCAGCCTCAGCCTGCATCAGCCTCAGCCTCAGCCTCAGCCTGCCTCAGCATCAGCCTGCCTCAGCCTCAGCCTCAGCCTGCTCAGCAGCCTCAGCCTCAGTCTGCCTTCAGCCTCAGCCTCAGCCTCAGCCTGCAGCCTCAGCCTCAGCCTCAGCCTGCCTCAGCCTCAGCCTCAGCCTCAGCCTCAGCCTGCCTCAGCAGCTCCTCAGCCTCAGCCTGCATCAGCCTCAGCCTCAGCCTGCCTCAGCCTCAGCCTCAGCCTGCCTCAGCCTCAGCCTCAGCCTGCAGCCTCAGCCTCAGTGCCTTCAGCCTCGGCCTCAGCCTCAGCCTGCCTCAGCCTCAGCCTGCCTCAGCATCAGCCTGCCTCAGCATTCAAAATGTGGCCCGGGAATGGAGTTCTGGGAACTCGAAGAACACGAAGTGGCCTACAGTTGGCTCCGGGCATTCAAAATCATGCCCAGGAATGGAGATCTGGGAACTCGAAGACCACGAAGTGGCC